TAGTAGAGACGGGGTTTCACCATGTTGACCAGGATGGTCTCGATCTCTTGACCTCGTGATCTACCCACCTCGGCCTCCCAAAGTGCTGGGATTACAGGCGTGAGCCACCGCGCCCGGCCGAATTTTGATGCATTCTTAAGCATTATAGAATAACCCCTATTAATAAGAACTCAAATAATCTGAAGTCTTAATCAATTAAATGTTGTTTTTTTTCTGTTTCTCTTTCTAAGGAGAAAAAAAGAATAGAAAAACAAATCTGTATCCAGTGCTTAATTTTTTTTTTCTCAGTCTCCATAGGGACAGTCAAAAATTGCCAATGCCAGCTAATTTCAGGTCATCATGGCGTGGTATTGGGAAAAGTTTTCAAGTACATAGCCATAACCTCGCCTCAGATAAACCTCATTGGCTATGATACTGCCACTGTGCAAAGGTAGCCAGTGCTTAATTTTTTAAAATAAAATCCCAGGCCAGGCACAGTGGCTCACTCCCATAATCCCAAGATTTTGGGAGGCTGAGGCAGGCAGATCACTTGAGGCCAAGGGTCTGAGACCAGCCTGCCCAACATGGTGAAACCCCGTCTCTACTAAAAATACAAAAACTAGCTAGGTGTGGTGACACACACCTGTAGTCCCAGCTACTTGGAAGGCTGAGGCACAAGAATCACTTGAACGCAGGAGGTGGAGGTTGCAGGAGGCGAGATTACGCCACTACACTCCAGCCTGGGGGACAGAGGGAAGCCCTGTCTCAAAAATAAAAATAAAAAATAAAACAAAATCCCAGAAAAGTTCTTGAGAATTAGTGGTAATTCAGATAACTCTCTTGTTTCAGGTAAAACAAATTCATGTGTAGTATGTTCCCGACCCCACTGCCCACACCTGTGTTAGCTCCTGCTGAGCTTGAAATTTTAGCTCCATAAGGCCCAAATCTCTGTCTTTTATTTTATTAAAATAAAATAAAATTTTATTGTATGCCAGCTCCTGGAATAGTGCTTGGCATGGATGCTCAGTAAATAGTTCCCAGATGATTGAGTAAGCTGGAGACTACCTCAAAACTTGTTCTGTATTTAGCACTAATGACAGCAACTTCCAACAAATTGGGGTAGGCTTGAAAGATCAAACCATTAGGCTATCCCTGTATAGCTCTTCTATTTATATCTGCAGCCTCTCCACATTGTGAATTGAAATTTAAAATGGTGGCTGTGAGGATCTGCAAGATTCCTGGTCATTCCATTCAACAAGCATTTAATGAGCCTCTCATAGTGTAGAGTTCAGTTTGACTCAAATATTCCACTTTAGTGATTCTCAAAAGGAATGGTTCCACCTCCTCGTGTGCATTTGGGAATCTGTGGGTGAGGGTGTTTCTTGGTTGTCACCATGACTGGAAGGGCACTGCCAGGCACGTAGGGAGTAGAGAGCCAGGTGTGGTAGATGCCCTACGGTTTGCAGAGAAGTCCCACGCAACAGAGAATTGCCCGAAGTGCTATGGAAATTTATTTCATGTCCACTGGTAAGTGACAGGGCTAATTATTATGACCTGAGTTAAATCCTAATGCCATTTTACATAATGTGCAAAGTAACTTGCGTTGAAGTATCTTTTGCGCTTTTTCAATAGCCACTGAATTTCCCCAAAGTGCATCTACTATGTATATTGAGAGAAGTGTGTACTTTGTTTTCTTCAGATGTTTCAAAAATTCTTCACCATTTTAGGAAATCACATCACCATCAGCAAAGCTATTCATGATACTTGAGTTTCCAATGCAATAACACACCCAAATCAGCCTGTACCCAGCTGTCACATCCACAGTGTCCATACACATGTCAGCAGCTGACCTCTTTATTGTATTACTGACGTAGCCATGCTTCAGGATTCACAGGAAGAATCACATATTTCATGATAAACTACTGACCTGGCAGTGGCTCACACCTGTAATCCCAGCATTTTGGGAGGCTGAAACAGGCAGATCACCTGAGATCAGGAGTTCAAGACCAGCTTGGCCAACATGGTAAAACTCTGTCTCTAGTAAAAATACACAAAAAGTTAGCCAGGCGTGGTGGCACACACTTGTAACCCCAACTACTCAGGAGGCTGAGTCAGGAGAATCGCTTGAACGCAGGAAGCAGAGGTTACAGTGAGCCGAGATCGCACCATTGCTCTCCGTCCAGCCTGGTGGCACAGTGAGACTCCATCTCAAAATAATAATAGTCAATTTCTTAACTAATTTCTCATATATCCCATAGTTAGGGCATTATATTATTTTTTAATGCATGTAGGTAAGTTATACTATCTATGAACTTGATTTCAGAATAGTAAAGTGTTTGCAATAAAAGGGGCATTGAGGAAATAAAGGAATTGAACACTACTGTTCTCCTTGCTAAGAAAGCAGACAATTATGGTTTAGGATTCTTTTTTTTAAGCTTGACTCAAGGTTGTTTTCCTTTGTTGACCCAAATGGAACGTGTCTACATAAGTGGATCCATGGTCCCATCTCAACTGGTTCATTTAGGGGAAGTTTCAACATGCCTGCGTAGAGAAACCCACACAATTCCTGCTCTGAAAGTATCCAGCCTTCTCTCTACGTCTAAGTTTACATATAAGATGATGTAGCTGTGCTTTTCTTCCTCACTACCCACCATCCTGTACCATTTTTAGGGCAGATGATTGATATATATAGAGAGAGAGATAAAAAGAAAAAGAAAAAAGATATAGAGATAGATATAGATAGATGATAGATATTTTTAGTACTGTATATAATTTTTATTTCTTTAAGAAAACAATGAGATACATGTGCAGAACATGCAGGTCTGTTACATAGGCGTACGTGTGCCATGGTGGTTTGTTGCACCTATTAACCTGTCCTCTAAGTTTCCTCACTTCACTCCCCAACCCCAACAGGCCCTGGTGTGTGACATTCCCCTCCCTGTGTCCATGTGGTCTCATTGTTCAGCTCCCACTTATGAGTGAGAACATGCGGTGTTTGGTTTTCTGTTTCTGTGTTAGTTGACTGACAATGATTGCTTCCAACTTTACCCACATCCCTACAAAGGACATGATCTCATTTCTTTTTATGGCTGCATAGTATTCCATGGTGTATATGTACCACATTTTCTTTATCTAGTCTATCATTGATGGGCATGGGTTGGTTCCAAGTGTTTGCTATTGTAAATAGTGCTGCAGTAAATGTATGTGTGCATATGTCTTTATAGTAGAATGATTTATAATCCTTTGGGTATATACCCGGTAATGGGATTGCTGTGTCAAATGGTATTTCTGGTTCTGATCCTTGTGGAATCGTAGGGTGGATAATATTATACTGTGTTACAATGAGGAACTGAGAAACTTTCCCAAGTCCCACAGCTCATGAGTGGAGGCATCACGGTTCAGACAGCCTGCCTTGCAGCTGCCCATCAAACACCAGCTTACAGCCTTTGGCCTCTGGTTACACACTTTCCTGACTCCTAAACCACTGTGATCTAACTTCTCTATCCCATCACTGGAAACTTGGTTTATTTAAGGTTATGAACTTCTCAATCATCAAATCTATTCTAGCACATCTTATTTTTAACAGAAAATGTTAATTACTTGTTTCATATTATTTTGTTTTTAATTCACTAATTATTCCTGTGGTTCTCAGTCTTCGCTGTATCTAGATCTTTATTTATTTAAGAGTATCTATGGATACTCTTAAATTTATGCATTTATTTTAAATAGGTAATATTTAACCATGGTTCACCATTTTACAGTGAAGAGTCTTCTTCCCATCCTGATTGCTCAGCCACCATTATCCTTCCATAGAGACAACTGGTATTACCAGTTTTTCATATATCTGGATCTTGGAAAAAAATACAGACTATTCTCCAAGAGACTTAGATGTATTTAATAGGCCAGTATTGGCCGGGCATGGTGGTTCATGCCTGTAATCCTGGCACTTCAGGAGGCCGAGACAGGTGGATCACCTGAAGTCAGGAGTTCAAGACCAGCCTGACAACATGGTGAAACCCCATCTCTACTAAAAACACAAAAATTAACTGGGCATTGTAGCAAGCGCCTGTAGTCCCAGCTACTCAGGAGGTTGAGGCAGAAGGATTGTTCGAGGCTAGGAGTTCAAGGCTGCAGTGAGCTATGATTGTGCCATTGTACCCCAGCCTAGGTGGCAGGGCAAGAAGCTGTCTCAAAATAAATAGATAAATAAATTAATTAAATTTAAAATGTTTTAAAAAGATGTTCTGTGGTCAGATTCACTCAGGAAATGCTGTATTACCATGTCCAACACTAGGAAATGCAAAAGGCACATTACCATACCCCCCACTTGGCTTTGTTTAAATGTCTGGTTCGAGTCATGGGCCATGAAGTGTTAATTGTCATTTATATTAACCACTCTATACTATATCCAATAACACTCTGCAGGCTCCTTTCTGAGACTTTTCTCACTCATAATTAACTTAACAAATTGTGTGCCATAATTTGTTAATTCTAACTTTTCTTATTGAATTTCAAGTCCTATAAATATGGGACAGTGTTTATTTGTTTTCCACTGTATTATCTCTGCCTAACATAGGATGACGCATAGTGCTTAATAAAAACAGGTATCAACTGAACATTATTAATACTGTCTTTTAAATCAGTGTTTTCCAAATTTGGTTAACCATGAAACTCTTTTCCCATGCAAGACTAATTATCATCATATATAAAACAAGTATTTTTAGGAATATGTCTTGAACACTGAATTTTGTCAAATGCCTTTTATTCATCTTTTGAGATGATCATGTGGTTTTGATGCTTAATTCCATGTGGTAAATCATATTAATTGATTTGCATATGTTGAACCACCCTTGCGTCCCAGGAATAAATCCCATCTCATTTTCTGCATAAGCTCTTTTATGAACTGTTAAATGTGGTTTTCTAGAATTTTGCTGAAGATTTTTTTTTTTTTTTTTTTTGAGACGGAGTTTCGCTCTTGTTACCCAGGCTGGAGTGCAATGGCGCGATCTCGGCTCACCGCAACCTCCGCCTTCTGGGTTCAGGCAATTCTCCTGCCTCAGCCTCCTGAGTAGCTGGGATTACAGGCACACGCCACCATGCCCAGCTAATTTTTTTGTAGTTTTAGTAGAGACGGGGTTTCACCATGTTGACCAGGATGGTCTCGATCTCTTGACCTCGTGATCCACCCACCTCGGCCTCCCAAAGTGCTGGGATTACAGGCTTGAGCCACCGCGCCCGGCCCTGCTGAAGATTTTTAACATATGTGTCATTGGGGATATTGGGCTGTAGTTTTCTTTTCTCGTAGGGTCTTTGTCTGGCTGTGGTATCAGGGTAGTGCTGGCCTCATAAAATTAGCTTTGAAGTATTTTCCCCTGTTCTTCAGTTCTTTTGAAATAGTTTAAGAATGATGGATGTTAACTCTTCTTTAAATGTTTGGTAACATTTAACAGTGA